AATTTCTTTTCCCTTACAGTTCCCAAAAGAAGACATAAATTTCTCCATAAAATATTAGCTATTTCATACACAAGTGGTAAGGCAATCATGGTTTTGGGACTGCACAGTTTGTGTTTTCTTGTAAGTCATGCTAATGGGCACTGTCATCTGTTTGATTCTATTCCCTTGGCTTAACTTAAATAATATTTGAGAACATTTACTCATGTAAATTCATGTACTCCACTATTTTAGACAGAAGATATGGTTTTATATATAGAGGCATGTTAAACTGCAGGTAAACATTTAGTTGGAATAGCATTCTCCCATGACCTACATATATGCTAGAAAATATAAAAGAAGATAACAGAAGTTGTCACCCAGTTCGGATAAAAACATTAGAAAATTTTACTATATCTTATGATCCCCCTAAATTTAGAACACAGATAGGCTTGTGGTTGCCTTAATTAAAGTCCATGTCTTTGCTCTCTGAATACAGCCTGCATGCACATAGAGATAGATATATCAGCAAATCCATTTACCTGCCTATATATCAGTTATAATGTTCAGCCCCTGTCTTAAATGTCTCAGTATCATTAAACTGGCTGTTCATTCTAAAAATTTGTACCCCATAATATTAATATGAATTTATCATTATATTTTAGCAAATTTCATTTAGGCTCATAATACCACAAATTTATCTGTGTGCAGCTGAAGGTTTCCTCATTTTTTTCCTGCTTCTTGCATTTGTGTACATGGACTTTAATAATCCTCCATTAATGAGCATATGTCCATCTTTGTGGTTCTCCATAAATCTAAATTTACTCTGTAATTTATCTCATTTTTACTCTGAATACATGTTTTGTATTCATTATGTCTTTCTTCCTCTGCTTTACACTCTTATATTTGCTTTTTTGTAGTCTGTTCTACTTAAAAAAGTAAAAAGATTTTCTTTTCTTTTTTTTTTTTTTTTCAAATAGCCCACTAAAAAAGAATCATCCTCTTTCAAATTATTTCAGTATATGACTTGTTCAATTTTAAGTCTCACCCTGTGCTTCATATAAGAGCTGTCACTCTCTAATCTTTGTATCATAATGTATAAATCAAATGTGTCCCCAAATATTTTTTTTCACATCTCTTTCTATCTTCCACTTATTTGACACTGGCACTTTCTGCTTTCTACTTTCATATGGAGAGGAGAGAAGGGTTAGAAGAGACTTATAAAGAACATGTTGTCTAACTGCCTGACCACTTCAGGTCTAACCAAAAGATAAAACATGATATTCAGGGTATTATCCAAATACCTCTTTAACGCTGACATGCATTGGACATTAACTACCTCTCTAGGAAAACTATTCCACTGTTTGACAACTCTCACAGTAAATATATATATTTTTTCTAATATCTAGTCTGAACCTCCTCCAGTACAGCTTTCTGCTATTCCTGTGCATCTATCAGTGGCTATCAGAGAGAAGAGACTGGCACTTCACCCTTCATTTCTACTCCTCAGTAATTTGTGGAGAACAAGGGCATCTCTTAGCTCTCTAGTGCTTGGAGCGTGCAATCAGAATAAGCTGGAACACTGAAGTTTTCCTCTGAACATCATTACCCTTTTTTTTATTTTTATTTTTAGGGTGACCAAGCACTGGAACAGATTGCCCATAGAGATTTTGGAGCCTTCATTCTCTGAGATATTCAAAATGTGGTAGGACATAGCACTGAGCAATCTGTTCTGGCTGACTCTGTTTTGAGAAGAAAAGTTGGACTAGATGATCTGCAGAAGGCTTTTCCAAAGTCAGCCAGTATGTGATTTCTTTGATGATCCCGGACCAGTGATCAAGACCATGCCCATGTGCAGTTAGTTTACTAACACAGAAGTGAGAACAGGAGCACACTGAGTTGTCTGAAAGCTTTTATTTAGATTGCCTTGCTTCAGGTGATGTCTCCTTTCCCATTGCTACTATATTAAAAGGTATATTATAAGGTAATGAAAGTCAGGGAAGAAAATAAGGCAGGATTGTACTTAGCATATTTTTAAAATCGCAATTAGATTTTGAATATTTAACCCTGTTCCTTTTGACTTTCCTTTTAGGCCTTTGATTACTTTTGGGTATGTATTTCTCTAATTGACTCCTTCCCCAGTGACCAGAGATTATAACTAATTAACTCTCCAGGCCCAAAATCTAATTTCAGTTACTCAAGCTGCATTACAATTGACGAAGACATGTTCCTCAGCCATATTGTCACTGTCAAACAAGTTCCATATGTTAGAAACAACAGCTGGCTGTTCTTCTGATTAACCATTTTAACTGATTTAATACAAATGATGTTTTATGGATCAGCAGCTTAGTAACAAACACAGCAGAGACTTACTAATATGAGCAATATCTTGTTCCATATACCACAGAGATAAAGCTCTCCAAATTGTATTTTGCCTGTCCACTTAATAGGAGTAATGGGAATATTTTTTTAATCAAAGCCTAGAGTATGAAATACAATCTTCTTTTCATCAAGTGCAACAGCAGACTTCATTGCTCCTGAAGCTCATTGTACTTCCTACGCAGGAAACAGTAGTTAAAATAAGGACAAGAAAAAAGCAAACAAAATAAAACTAGTCCTCTCAAATGAAACAATTTCCATAGCTTAACTCTGCCAGAAAAACAGACTTTTAACTGCATATTAGCTAAAATCTGAAAAATTGAGTTAGAATTAATTCTCGTCACTGTGAAAAGAATTCTGATGCCCGTTTCTCCCATTCTTCACAAAAATAAAAAAAATCACGCTAGTAGTCTCTATTCTAAATGGCAAAAAAGTTAAAAGTGACCCTAATGTTACATAAATATCACTTCATTCAAGGAAATTGTTTAATTACTAGATGGGGCTCTGGCCTGTCCTCCTGGGCAGTTACTTCCACCGTGACATAATCTACAGTTTTTGTCTTTCAAACAAAAAGCACAGGAGTATACCAGAATAGCACAGGTCAAATAAGTCTTCACCTCATCCTTTACTGGCATAGAAGGCAGATTTAAAGTTATTCCTTTGGTTGTGAGCTAGGCTTTATGTTATCACTGCCCCCTCCACCAAAAACAAACAAACAAACAAACAAACAAACTTTCAGATCACTCAGTCCTCTTGAGGCTGATGCTGAGGTAAACCAGTTTATATTCTTAGGGAGAAAAGTTTCAGGTATACTTTCTGTGCTACACCACCTTGACTTTCATACTTTTTTGTTGCATTAGTAGTTCTTTGTATTACATTCATTGTATTACTTCATGTTTTGAAACACTGAAGGTGCAAAACACATTGGGACTGCTGTCTTCTGTTCCAAGCCAACTCTCTGAGGTGACATTTTGTTGGCTGATTTTGAGTAGACAAAATGGCCTTGGCACTGACTGAGGCAAAGGCAGCTGGTGTCTGTGCTGCTCACAAACCCAGTCAAGATGAGTGAAGTTGGGCTCTATTAACCTTCAGACAGTACTGTGACTTCCCAGCAAAGTTATAGTGTAGTCATACACACAGCATCTGGAGAATAGGATGTTTTTCCCACCTGTTTCTCAGCTCAATGTGATATTGCCTTGGCACCACTGGAAACTAAGTTCAGAGATTTAAACAAGAATCAGAGTGGTGAAATACCAGCTCTTATGCCTGGGAATTCAGATGCTGTGCATTAATACATTCTGGTTTCTATAAGTAAGCAATCAGGCCTTTTAAAATTGTGAATAGTTTAAATAGTGAATGCTTACGCTTGTGTTTTATGATTTCTAACTAGCTTTGAAGCTAATTTTAAGTGTAATGTACTTAAAATGCAGCATGTAAAAATAAGGAACATGCTGAACTCCTTCAGTCTACTAATGGCAGATACAACAATCCTGTTAATATCTTGAAATATTAATTATTCATATCAACAATTTTCAGGATTGGAATTTAAGTATTTTTAATAAGAATCTTATAACACTTTTAGCTCCTCCTCCAATGACAAAAAAGTTAACATAATTTTAGTTAGTGATTATTTTAGGAAGACTTTTATAACTGCATCCTAAACTGTTTGCAATTGAAATGTATATGTGCTGTGATTAATAGTTTTGCATGGTAATTTGGTCACATTTTGCTGCTTGATGAAAATGATGATTTAATTATGATAACTTGATGAGGCATACATTTAAAAACCTCTCCAGAGTTAGTTTTTATTTTTCCTTAAATTCTTGATTAGGACCAAGGTCATTGCTGAAATGCAAGGTTATGTTGGAGTTATTCTGGCTTGAATATTCAGATCTACCCTAATTTTGATCTGTTTCAGGTGTTCAGATCTTAAATTTATAGTGATTTTGTGCTGCTCAATTTTACTGATTGCAGAATCTGTCATTTAGAAGTCACTGCCTTTTTTTTTTTTTAATAAGTTATATCAGAACAATGGAAATACTTTGTCATTCCCTTAAAAAGGTTAAGATCCTTGTAAGTCAGTGTGAAGTTAGGGTGAAACATAAGGTAAAAAGGCACTATTTCTTGGTGTTTCAGCTTTGTATTTTCTCAGTGGAAAAACAGTTGCACAGCTGGTGATGGTGGGTATTCTGAATGTCTGGCTTGAAGTCAAAGAATAAGGAAGTCTTGTCATTTTCTATTTCAAAAAGTGAAAAGGACAAAACTATCAATGCTTTTCAGAAATAAGTTAAATAAAGCACACTATAGCACTATGACATGACCCTTCTTAGGAATAGATAATAAATTGTCTTAGGAATCTAAATAGATGAGAGGAAAGCTAAACATGGCAAGACAACTTGGAGGGATTTAGTTACACATGTATGCACAGAGAAAACAATGAAAACAATGACATAGAACAGTGGAAGAGTTTACAGCAATGAGGAGCTAAGAGAAAATGTGTAGACAGTCATCTTCCTCATATGTTGAGCTTTTATAAGCTTGAAGCATTAATTAAAACAAACAAACAAACAGAACAAAACCTACTTTTGAAGAAGAAGATTTTCACTTTTTTTTTTTTTTTTTCTTTAAAGAGAACCATGCAGGTCTTGTGGATTATTTTAAAAAGAACTTTGTGTTTCACATAGGAAATGAAGAAGTTTCTGCATGAGGATCGGTGTACCAGGGGGATAAAATTTCCAGATGCAATACTTTAGTAACAGTCTTGTTCTCAAATGTCACCAATACCCAGAGTCTTATCACGCTGTCCTCCCACTGGCTTCTGAGTGTCACTGGGAATTGTGTATGCTTTTGTTGTTTCTTTTTTCGTTATACAATTCCCTTTTCTTAAAAACTCTACTGAGATTTCAGCTTACATTCCAGTTAGCATTTTTCTCTTTATTTTCTCTTCTGCTCTCACAGTGGTTCTTGATCAGGATTTCCACCACTTCATTCAACCACTTTACCATTTACTCACTTCTTTGAATCTGCATCTTTCACTCTTTTCCTCCACACAGGAGAACATTTTCTGACGTGCTTTTGAAGTTAGTCTTTCTTCACTAGAAAATACTCCTTCCATTCAGTTTGGTCATCTGTTTAGCTAAATAATTATCTTCTCACCTAGTTTAAATCTCTGTAGTCCCATTCAATTTTCTGGCCATTGCCTCAGACTTCAAACTCTTCTCTTGCCTTCTGCCTCCCCTCCTCCCTCCAATCTTCCCTCCCTTTCTCTATTCCTCCCTCTCTCTCTTGCTTTCCTCCCTCCCCGTATGGACTGTTGATAAGTAGCATGAATTTCAATTTCTTCTCATTTTTCTTTCCTTCCCTGTTTTCCTTCTGAAATACAATTATCCCTCTTTCTTACTGCTGATCTTACCACTTTCTACAAGTTTCCTCCAATATTTCCTCTTCTATTTTTGATCTTAATCTCTGATCTTTTCTATATTATTCTTCCCCTCACCTTTCTCTCACTTTCTCATTGCTGTAAACTCTTCCATTCTCCATATAACTTCTCACTACTTTCTGGATCTATTACTTCAAAATAATAGCATGGCAGTTCTTGTACTTTTAAAAAATCCTCACCTCATTTATTGCACAATCCTGTCCCTCCCTTTTACTTCAAGCTTATTAAACACAGGATTTTATACTGCAGTCTGGATTTCCCACCTATTTATACTTTACTTCTTCTTGGCAGTACAAGGGAACAGCTTTTTTTCCGCAATCTTTAGTTACATTTTAGCAAAATCTGAAACTTCTCAAATACATCTTCATCTTCTGTGACCTCTACACTGCCTTTTATTTTGTTTGAAACGTTTTCTGTCTTTGCTTCGGCGACTGATCTCACCCATGTCTTTCTTCCTATCTGTCTAATCATTCATTTGACTTATATTTTACAAGCCTTTCTGTATCTCTGCTTCCTGTGTGTGTCCGTAAGGTCATGTCCTCCATTCTCTTCTTTTATTTAAACTTTATCTCTAAATAACCTTATTTGTGTATCTAACATCTTTGTTCATCTCTCATCTTTGTGCCTACCTTTAGATATAGGTTTCTGTGCCAGTAGAGAGCTTACCATCTGTGCAAACTAAAACTTAACAAAATGATGGCCTCAGTCAAAAGGCTAAGAGTGCTCCAGTGAGTTTTTTGGTGTACAGATGCACTCAGTCCGGAAGAAAAAAAATCCATCAACATGCAAACATGTTTTCACTTGGGTAAAAACAATAGCAAATAACAGAGCATTTATTACATAAGTTTCTTAGTTTATGTAGGTCTTCAAGTACTGATATTCTGGTAAGGAGCTTAATTTACAACTGGCACTGCACTGTATGTTGTCAAAAGAATGAAAAGAAGGCAAGTTTACCACAGGAGTTGTTAGTTGTCATGGTGTGATACTCTCGATGGACTATTTTCAAAAACTGATTAAATTCTCACATGAATATGTGAGAAGGCAAGCTCTCCTCAGCTCTTATTCAGAGATATTCACAGAATTCAGTGAGTAGGATTAGTTGGTTGTGAGACCATATACAGAGGGATGGCTGTTCAACTTTTACAGATATTCTGATAGCTTCTTCAAGAGTATAACTATATGAAATAAATGGGGGATTAACCTGATAACCAATTTTACCTTCTGAAGAAATCTGCTTTTTATTTAGAACAGTGGATATTGATGGCTTCCATTAAAATCAGAGACACCATACAAACACTCCATACAAATGGAGCCTTTCTTTGGTTTATCGAATTAAGAACCATGAATCATGGAGTTTCAATCAACAATTCACAAGTCAGGAAGTATAAGCATCACAGCCCTGTCATATATTTTATTTAGTAGTGAAAGGAGATAGCACTTTTAGGTTACATATTCATGATTTTTATCACTGTTAATTTCTTAGTACTCTCAGATACACTAATTATCAGAGCTCTTTTGCTCAATTTATGTGTGATACCTGGTATTTCAGTGTCCAGAGTTAAGCTGGATGCTTCAGAGAAGGCTCTGAAACATATATCTCATCTACAAAAAACTGACAGCACAGAGCAGATGGAAGGCAAATATATACAGTAACAGAGTGACACAGTAAGTTAGCTTTGGCATGTGAATATGTTTGCTGGTTCGTGAATTTTCTTCCTCTTTTTCTCTGCTGATAAAAAAAGATGAAACTGTGATAGTAATGGAAAAAGAAACTTGTTTTCTTAGCAAGTCCACAGTGTTTAGATAGGTAATAATTTATCTCTGAAGATTTTGGAACAACGTTCATTTTCTGAAAATGACACACTAAATACAACTTTTAATGTCCAATTTTTCCCCCTTAAGTTCAGAATAATTACTGATGATGGTTTAGGTGAGAGTCCAGGACTGCTGAGAGAAATTAGCAAGCTTTTAGTAGGCATAGTGCTGTGTAAATTCATTTAGCTATTACTAACTAAGGAAGGTTTTGACATAAATGTTTAAATCAAACCCCACAAAGTTTAATCAGGAAGCAGTGGAAACCAAAACCACTCAACTTAAGAACTGCTAGCTCAAGAACTAAAACAATACCTGCAATTTTTTTTTTTTAAGTGTGTGCCCATGAAGTGCAATTAATAGTGTTAGCTTCAGATTTAATACTGGTAAGGTCAGAGGAAAAGAAAACCCAAAAACCTGAGGATTAAAACAGACTAGAATAGAGTCTAAACCATGAAGAATGACAAACATAATAGAGGCAAACCTTAATAGAGGTTCCATAAAAAGATTGGGCTCAACAAACACCAGCTGTTCAGAATAAAATGCTAATATTAGTTTAACTACTTTAACATCAGGTCCCTGCTAATGATGTCCTCAGCTTGTACTGAAATCACGAAGAATCAAAGACTATTCAAAATGAATTCTAATGTGAAGACATTTATTTCTTAGTGCCTTTTGTCAGGAAAGAAATAACATGGATATAAAATCTTAAATACAAATGTGTATCATCTGTATTAGTAAATTCTATTGCAGCTTTACTGTGGCATTATTTTTGGCCCCAAACATTTATTCTGTTGCCCCAAAATTGCAAGTGTTGAACTATCTTCTGAAAGAATGTACTGTCAGAGTGGTCATCAAGTACTGTTAACTTCTTCCTACAGGAGATATTTAAATATTTATGATTGCTTTTACTGGAAACTCATGCTTAAAAGCTAGATATGTCTTACTGTAACCTGGTTTATATTTCTACTGAAACTCTGCTTTTGAGAATTGTTCCCATGTGGCAGCTTTAGAACATGGATGACAAGCTTGTAATGGAGTCTTACTTTGTGCGTGCCTGTAATGAAAGCTGATCAAGGGAACTGCAAAGAAGGATATTTGTTTCGCTTTTGCCATCAGTGTGTATACATTATGTGCTTATGAATGTATTTCTGAACACTTAGGTGATGATCTCAAACAAGCAGATACTGAAGCCCACGGTCAGATGGTGCCTAGTCCCTTCCTTTATAAAGTTTTTTTTTCTCAGTGATCTCTGACAGCTGCTGGAAAAGGTACTTGAAAACCAGTTCAGTGATCAAATTTGTACTAAGAAAAGACAAAAGAGGCAGACATAGGCTGCTTTAGCTTCTTTTTGTGCATTCAGGATATTTTTTGTTGCTGAGGACATACTGTAAATCAGTATGAGTACTATTTTTCTTCATATTCTACATAACATTCACTATAATTAATCAAAGCATGCACTTCTCAGCTTTAAAAGTCTTAAAATAATCATTATATTAATATCACATAATATTGCTTGTATTACAATATAGTAGAGAAAGTGGAATTCTCTTAATTCTCTGTCTCTTTTATATTCCAGTACTTATGCTTGGACACTTTACAAGAAATGAACCCCAAATCATTGAATTAGTGTTGCAGTTCCTGTTGTTATTCCCATTATTTGCCTTCTGTTGAGTTTGGTGTCCCATCTCAGAGCACAGAGAAAAGAAATAATTGCCCAGGGAGGAGAAGATTGAGGAAGGCCATGTGTCCGCTTTATTGTAGGGCTGCAGTCTGTATAGAGGACAAATCTGGAGGGAGAACATGAAACCCCTGGGGCATTTCCAAAGGCGGAACACAAGCTGAGTTTTAAGAAAAATCCTAATGCAGAAAACAATCCACACTTCAGTGAAGTGGAGATCAGGTAAGATTCCCTTTCCAGGTTTTTTGTTTTGATCTAAATTATCTGATTCTGATCAAAGAGCTGGTCATCCAGTAATTGTTCAGAGTTAGAATTCTAAATAAAACGTTGTTCTTCTGAAAATCTTTACCTTCTCATTCTTTACTAACCAAAATTCATGTGAAAAAGTTGGCTTTGGCCAATTTTTATTCCTGTTGTATCAGTTTGAACTAAATCTGTTCAGACAGATATTTAAGCACACCTGAAGCCTTTGGCAGGAATATATGGAATGCTCTGTATCATTGGCTGCCTGACATCCTTCCTATCCCTGCAAGAGGAGAAACATGGAGAGCTGCAGCCTGGGGAAGCCCACGTGCAATCACCTGGGGAAGGACAGCATCCCATGGGAGGGATCCCATGCAGAGCAGGGGCAGAGAGTGGCCATGGAGGAGCAGCAATGGAGGAGCAGCAATGGAGGAGCAGCAATGGAGGAGCAGCAGAGTTTAAGATTTATGGGCTGACTGCAGCCCCACATTCTCCATTTACCTGCACCAAAGGTGTTTTTAGTTTGCTTTTCTTTCTTACTGTTCTAGTCTGTTAAGCAATAGGTAATATGTAATAGATAATCTATGTTGAGTCTGTTTCAGCCATGGTAGTAGTTGGTGAGGAGTCTCCCTGTATTTATGCCAACTCATGACCCATTTTTTCATCAAATTTTCTTCAACTGTTTTTTTTTAAGGACTGGCAATGACAGAACAGTATGGTGGAGCTTACCTGCCCATCAGGGTAAAACTATCACTGCAAATACACTTTGGTGCATCTGAGTCCTGAGCAAGATCCTTAGGAGTCCAACTGAAAGGACAAAAATGTAACAACACCTTCCCAGTTACCAATGGGCTGCATTGTGGATTGTCACATACACAACTCATTGTGTCTGATCAGACAAGGGGTAATGACTTTAAACTAAAAAGAAGATAAACTTCATAGTAAATTCTTTACTATAAGGGTGATGAGGCACTAGAATGTGTTGCCCAGAGAAGCTGTCAGTGCCCCATACCTGGAAGAGTTCTAGGCCATGCTTTTTTTTTTTTTTGTGCAACCTGGTCTGGTTGGAGGTTGGATCCTTAAGGTCCCTTCAAACCCAAACCAATGTATGTTTCTACAATCCTATGATTCCAGGTGAGTTGGGAACAAGAATAAATTTCCCCTGGACTTCTAAGGAAGAACTAGATACTTTTTCCTGCCCAACAATTTATCTTATTATGTTTTCTACTTTTTCAGCAGTTATGTATTTTATTTGTAAGGAGTTTGCTTAAGGATTAACATATTTTTTTTCCCTTAGGTAAAAATTTTTCCATACTGTGTCAGTCTTACCAATATTTATGCATTTTCTTTGCTGTCACAACAGAAGCTCTTCATGCTTTCACTAGGAGTCATTGTGCAGATGGAATTGAAGACAGGCTACTTATAATTCCAGTAGCATAGCCTTGGATTCAGACAATTTGCTGTGTGTGCTACATGGCTTTAGAGCCTAAATATGTGCCATTATAGTGATCTATTCATTAAAAGTCAGCCATCTATCTTACCATGTATTTTATATTAAATACCATGACCAGCACAGTGGCGGTGGCTTTTTTTTTTTTTTTTTTTTTTGCATTCTGTTGATAGATTTTATTAAAAAGCGATTCCTTAATTCTTCTGATAAATGCATTGTGGAGGTTTAAGGTATTCACTTTGCTTTTATCATTTATTATACCCTGTGATCCACACAGTTGTCAGGATGAAATTGAATTTGACAAATGTGAGCTATGATTTAACGCTTATGCTACTTAGCAGTCTAACTTTTCACAATGCAAAACGCTCTGGGATTCTAGAAGGACCTCATAGAGGAAGAAAGAAGTCAGAACTCGCTCAATTTCTGAACATGTTCTACTCTGCCTAGACAGTTGTCCTGGCTAGCATAGCAACTATACATCTCCGCTAGATCAAGAGATCTTATCCCATCTATTTAGCCCACTTTCCTACTAGTTAACTGTGGAAAAAAACTGACAAATAGAATTCGGCTAAACAAAGAAAGACCTTTTTAATAGAGTATTAAGCATTCTGGTTAGCTTTCCACTTTGCTTTTGTATTGGAAGCAGCAAGGGCTGCTGTCTGGTGGTACATAGGAAGAAATTTAGAGAAGCTGAGACAGAGAGAACTTAAACTGTTGAAACATACAACCATACAGAATTTGTGTTGATTGGAACTTATACAAGAAGTATGGAAATAAGTACATTTTGGAAATGGGGAAAGAGTGCAAAAGGAATGGCAGAAACTGCTTTTTGCTTTGGTAGGAAGGGCTGTTAACTCTAAAATTTACCTCTCAGTAATTTGAGTATTAGTCACTGTCACACACTGAACAGATTAGCAAAGGATGCTCTAATGCTACAGTTACATTACTTTTAAAGATTTTTTAAAAATCTTTTAAAGAAGATTTTTGTATTAAGAATTTGATGACTTTGATCATATGATTGAGACTTTTTATCTTATTAAATAGGTAATACTAGTCACTAACCATGGAGTATTTGAGTGAGCTGGAAATATTTTTCTTTTTTGTATGAAAAAGTTATCATTCCTATTGCCTAATCATATTCTATGAATGAAATACTAGAAAGGAATAGAAACTTTACACTACATTAACCTGACCTTAAAAGCACAGCTAAAATAAAACATCATTAGCAGTGTTAAATCAAGCAGATCAACCTTATGAAAGTATCTGAGGTTCTGAGTCTGACTACAAAAGTAATCTTTCTTTTCTTTCTTTTCTTTTTTTTTTTTCTTCATTCTCAGTGGGAGAATGAGTGAAAGTCAGTGAACTATGACCGTGGAATTCATATGGTGAAAAGCAAGAAAACAACAGTTCAGTACATCTTTCCAGGAGAAAGAAGACCTGGTCAGAAGATTTGTTATTGACTTGTTCTGTGATCACAGTTCCATGGTCTTTTTCAGACAAACATGTAAAACAAGTATCTTTGTAGGTTAGGGTTAAAACTAAATCTGTAGCATATCTGCAAATGTACTTCCACAGTAAACCTGCAGAATTTATTTAACACAGCTCACAGGAGAAGAACAAGCTGAATTCACAATGTCTCAAAAGCTTAGCTTAGGGAGATGAATAGACAGTGCTAAGACTCAAAGAAGGTATTTTATCATACACTTCAAAGCCTGAAGTCTGAGACAGCTTCACTCTCAAATCACTCTCAGCTCTTGCTGTCATGTCAGAATAGGATGACTTAGAGTATACTGTGAAAAATGTTCCCCTTCACTACCATTTTCATTCCACTGCACTGAGAAATACTGTGATTTTAGGTCTGTTAATAGAAAATCCTCTTATATGAAATCTCGCTTCAAAAATTCCTTCAATAGAAAAATAAATGACTGCCACTTATTTAGTGACCTAATATTTAGAGTAAAGGCTACACTGTAACACATCACAGCCATCTAAAAAAGATATGTACAGATACTGGATTTCAGCAGACCACCATTTCCTGCAGTTATTTATTAATATTAATTTTGAACAGAAGTGAGCTTTGTAAAAGCCTCTTACCAAGGAAGCAGCAGCTGGTTATAGAGGAAGTATAACTTTGCTGATATGCATAAGCTGGGCAGACTAATAGACCATGTTATTGATGAAAGGAAAGCTGGTTCATGCTGTTGGCTGGCTGCACAGGAGTTCCATTTCATTCCTTCCCCCAAGTTCATGTCAGCTTTTGGCTGGAGATTGGGACACTGTGTAACAGTTCTTCGAAACCTTACCTTTTGTTTTTGTTCTTTTATACTGAGCCTCTGAGACATAAAAACTGTATGAATTTTTTTTTTTTCTGAGATCTCCTATATAACAGACTGAAGCCCAGCTGACTCAGAAACACCAAAATTACCTTTAGCACCATCTTGACTGTCCTTGAACAAATCCGTTTAGAATGTAGGAGTATTTACCTTCCTGATCATAGAGTAGGAAAAGAGCAAAATGAGACTCTTTGGGCCCTATCCCTTCCCTCTAGCAATGCCCGGTTAGTAATCTCTAGAAATCATGACCCTCACTGGCAGGATGAAGGTTTTTCTGTCCTCCCAGTACTTCTTAAGTTCTTTTCCTTCACTAAGTGAAAAAAACAAAAACAAAAACAAAAAACCTACAGTGGTGGTTATCAGGAATTAAGAAGAACAAATGCATTAAAAAAAAAGGAAAAATATATTATTACGAGTGTACTGCAGAGAAGTCTATTAAAATCCAGACAAATATGGCTACGATAAATGTAAAAGTAACTTCGATGACAAAAATTCAAGAAATATTTTATGTACAGTACCATGTGGAAAACTGCTATGATAATTAACAATCAAATTCCCAGAAATGTGTATACAGTAGATGTTATCCTTAAATAAACATGAATCAGTTCAAAATCTTTCTTTCAAGTATTTCCTGTACAACTGCACCAAAAACTTGTCTTTTCCTTTCCATCTCAAATAATCAAAGAAAATTTTGCAATTTTGAATTTGTGATGTAGTCAGTTTGCAATGGACGAAATAATCACGACCATAATGTGTGTCTCTGCAGTGAATTGTGGTAGCACATTAAATCAATTTGAAGCATGCTACTCTGAATAAAATGTGTGAAAATTCTGTTAAATCATGTACAGATTTTCAGTACAGTTACAAATTTTTCTTCCTGCAGTAGTGACAAGAAGTGTCTCTTTCATAGTTCTTGGCATTCCAATAGATGGTTGGAATGTAATTTCTATTAAAAAATAATACATTATTAATTTCAGAATTCTACTCTAATGCACATACTTAGGTTTTGCATACATTTGGACTCTGGATTCTGTGCAATAAAATAGGACTCCTGTTTTTGCATCTGGATTAACAGTATCCTGTTATTGAATTTTTTTGTATTTGTGCTCTCATAATTTTTGTGGTGGATAAAATATTTCCTGCTATGATGGTGATAAGACTCTGGAAATGTTTTCCTAGAGAATTTTTTGATGGCCTATCTCTGGAGGCGTTCAAGGTCAGATTGGATGGAACCTTGGACAGTCTGGTCTAGTAGAAGGTGTTCCTGCTCTGTTTCTAGACCTTAGCAATATTTTAACAGTACCCTGCCTTTTTCACTAGTTATTGCTTCACTCTGAAGATTCACATCACTTCTTAGGACTGCCTAATTCTGCCTTGCAACGGTCCAAAAGGGACATGGCTAGATTAGTCTGAGACATCACTCATAGAGCAGTAAATCAATCACTCAGAAGTTATATAGATTCTAAGATTTCTGCTGATGAGCATAGAATATCATTTCGGCATTTGTACCTCTTAATCATTTCCAAATTATCAGCACGTCTAGTTATTCATTAGCATATTTTGACAACAACATGAATTCTGCTTAATTTGTCCATAGAAAAATTACTAAATGATTTGACATTACAGACAATTACATTTTTAATGGAATGCAGAGATCCATTAAGAGCATTCACTTTTCAGGGATTTGCTAGGAACGTGATTTATAGTTCAAGGATCCAAATGTACATGTACCAAATGTGGTAACATGTAATAACAAGATAATTTGCTCTCAAAAGAATTCATAATTTGAATTTAAATTGGTGAATAAAACAGCACAGGAAACAACTAGCATTATGTTCAACATTGCTGAAAACCAAAGAATTCCTGCATGGAGGACAGGCAGAATAATACTATCTAGATATGTCTATCACGTAGATATATACATACACAATTTGAATAAGAATACCTTGAGTCCAAAGACTCTATGCATTCTCATCTTGATTTTTCTTACCAAATTTTCTTCTAGTTTTCTTGTCTTTTGGCCTCAAACAACTAGCTAGAAGAGAGTAAACACTAAACTGCTTCCTTTATAATTCAGTACTGGCAATTGAAGGTGGTGAAAATTTGTTATATTCCATTACTGTAAACAACAACAGTAAGTATTTTGTAGAAAGCCAATAATCAGATAATTAGTAAGAAGGCAGTAGAGTTATTTCACATTTTCTGAGCTTAATGTTATACATCCCCACTCACATGACATGACTTCATAAAAGTTAATCAATCACAATAACAAGCATTAGTAAAAGTTAGTTAATTGTATATGTCTACCCACAATTCTAGCACTGCCTCCTGAACTATGACATTGTGGATCCTCAAGGTTTGTCAGGTACATGCTGGGAAAAAGCAATGATGTTAACAGTTTTTCAAATTCACGTCAAAATAGAATGTTTTCTGGAGTTTGGGGCCATTCTTGAGACATTTGTTTGAGAGGAACATGTAAAAAACATGCCCAGCTCTATCATTGATGTTCACCTCAAAAATCAGTAGATACATAAACATAACCACTGGTGTCTGTAGGAGCAACAAGCATTTTGAAAAAGAGGTTAATCCCATTTTAAAATAGATTTCTAATTAAACGATGGAATGAGTCACCCATTTAAATCTCTTTATATCAATGAATAAGAGGATGAGGGAGATGACTAGTTTAAGATCATGAGGTTTACCTGGAAAAAGCACAGCAGTATTTCACAGTTAATGTGGAAAAAGCAGAAGTAATGGATTGTTTGCAGTTAGCAAGTAAGGCTTTAAACAAACATATATCTTGAATTTTGGTCAGCTAGTATTCTAGCTTTTCTCCTTTTGAAGTTCTTTTTCATTTATTGCTTTTTGTTTTAATATGAAAAAAAAAAAGCTTTCAACGGTAAAATAGAAATGAACTGTGCTGATTTTATACACAGAGGGGCTCTGTGCATCAGTGCTGCATGCACTAATAATCTAGGACAGCTCATGTATCTGGTATCAGACACGGACTGGTGGACCATATCTATCACTAAATGTTGATTGTTGGATTTGGCTTTAATTTCTTTGTAAAACATTTTTTTTTTTCTTTTTTTTATTTCTCCCACCACACAGTCTGGCTTCTAGAAAATTATCTAAGGAATACCAAAATGAAAGAATACTTACAGTTGGTTCGTCCATGGTAAATCTCTTGTTGCATTAGTAGCTTGTTCAGTGTTGAAGCATACGATGCAGCAAAAGGGAGCAGCTCATTCATCTCACTTGTTGTGAATTGTATTATTGGCTGCTGAATTAGGAAGACCTTTTCAACCATGCTGTACCACCAAGATTCATACCAAATAGAGATTATTTGTACATCAGAGTATGTCTATTAATTTATTTAAACTTAGAATGAATTCTGCATTTGACCTGTCATTCTGCATTTGACACTGTATGCTAATAAAATAAAATAAAAAATCATTCAATTTTCTATCCAACTTTTTAGTTTTAATTAAATCTTCCTTGTTCTTTCATAAATATGTTTATATTGTTTGTCCTGAAAATAGAGATCATCTTTCTTATTTTATTAACTCATCTTTCCAGTTTTTCTTTTTATATGCTATTTGAATAAGCACTTCCAACTTGAATAGGATGATAAATGTTGCTAAAATGAATAAAGAGGAAGTAAATTACATCTCCACCCATGATAAAATAGTGCTAATAATTTCTACAGCTATTCATATGATTTAAAGGTCCAAAAATCCAATAGAAGCACTTATTTACAACTAGAAGGTGTTAAATCGGGATTTACCCTTACCATTTATCATTAAATAAACCACATGAGAGGATCTAATTAATTGCAAGATTTGGCATAGAAATTCAGCTTCTTGTTTGGCATATAGCTGGTAAATGTCCTTGACAATTACAAAGGCAGTCTGTAACATAACTAGCCCGTGCAATGGTTGCACTGATGAGGCAAGATATGCACGATAACCAGGGATAATCACTGAATCAATAATAATACCAGAATCTGAATAGGCAAAGCTGAACTTCGCCTGTGTTGTCTCAGTTCTATGTTCCTCGTGGGTGATGGACAGGCTCTAGTTGTTTCACTGAGATCAAATGATGTACTGTGGCTCCTTGAACTCTTATTCAGAAGAGTAAATGTGCTGGATCACCTGTGAAAGAGAGGTACACAAGGCAAAGAAAAGGCAATATACCGTCAGGCATTTCCGCTACCACTTTTTTTTCTAAAGTTTGACGTCATCTTGCTCCAGAATAACCTAAGCTTTCAAAGAATTTTTGAAAACTTTTCTCCACGTATATCATCATGGTTTTACAGGTAAGCAAATAAATTGATTTAGGAAGTTGGATGGTGAAAGTGGAGACTCAGGAGCCTCTAGAACAATTTGATTTTTTCATAGCCCATCCAGACAAAATTTAAATTCCTCTGGAGTTATGACCAAAGAAACAAACAAATAAATTAGGCCAACTTTCACAGTGACAAAAACTGGAAATTAATCCTGATTATAAATATCTATTTCAGAAATGCCTTATAACTAAAATGGGTCAAGTTTACTTTCTTATTAGAAATAAATATTTCAACTTTAAAATATCTTCTATTCACTGTTAATGAATGCAAAGTGTCTCCACTTACGCAGAATCCCACTCAAATATGCTTCGTAAAATAGTGAATCTTGATATCTTGTTGGCCTTCTTGGCCTGAAACTTATCCCAGTGTATCTATATTGTTATTAATGCATGAGGTATAGTATCCTAAAAAGAATCATCAATATTTTTCTGTATTTTATTTTAGTAATCTTCTCTTCTGTCAAAAAAAAAAAAAAAAAAATCATGTTTGAATCTTCTTTGTTAAATGATGTTATTGCTCTTAATGAAAATTCTCAGCGTAAAATCATCTTCAGATGGGGATACTGGCTAAAGTTATATTTTATAAATTGATCAGAAATAAAAATTACACTTTAAATGAAAAAGGTTTTATTCCTGTTGTTGTTTTTTAATAAATTTTTAAATTAAAGCGTCTATGCTCCTTGAAGAATTTCTCTCTGTATCAAGGATTCTTAAGTATTGTAATTTGATGTTACAAACACAGAAGGGAATGTGGACTACTTTGTTGGAAAGAATATGAGCAAAATTATCATTCTAAAGGTATCTTGTTGGAAACTTTCTATTTTCCAAATGAGAATACCAACACAATTTTATATTTAAGCAACAAGATTAAGAAATAAGCATAAAAATATTTTTTAATTTTGATTTTGATTGAGGAAAAAAATTACATTATTTTGCCACATTGTAATGTGCTGTGGAGTACTATAATTAACATCCCAAAACGCTGGCCCATTATTTACAACTGCTGAAGTAGGAAGTCAGTCTTGATGGAAGTGAACTGTGAAGTGGGAGTGCTTCATATTTCTATAGCATTCAGGTGTTGGTGTGCATTTGAAAAGAATAAAAATATTTAAATATTCATTTTGATTTTAAGTAATTCTGAAAATGAAATATCATAAAATGAAAAAAAAAAATCCCTTTGAGATAAAATTAGATAAGTTTCATCGTTCATAGGTACAATTATCCGTCATGATATTATAGGTGTGAAATGCAGAAAGAAGAAAAACAAAAGTTAAGCAGACTTTAAATAAGTGAGTCTTGCAATCTCCAGTTGAGCTGAAGACTAAATTTTTATTAAAGCCACCAAGTCTTCAAACCCACTAAAATAAACAGAGGGAAATTTTACATATGTACTAAAGAATACTCATTCTTGCATGTGAGAAGTGAGCACGCCTTCATACTTTTTGTTAGGAGTGAATAATAAAAACGCAATTGCCCAAATAGCCTATTTTGTAAATGTAAGTGAATTAAAATTATGGGATAGATGACTTCCTAGAATCTCTTAAAGAAAGTGATACTTTAGTTTAATGAAACTTAGAGTAAAGCATCTTTTTAGCAAGTGAACTGGTCAAGTTTATATCAACCAATACGTTGACCTTTACGAGTCTGTTGCTTTTGCTCAATTTGCAAATCTGGCTAGCAGCAATTGATGAAATATTTTATTTTGGGAACATCCATGAAACAAATAGTTCATATTAGTATAGTAACTCTCCATTAAGAAGTCTGTTCTATTGACTTAAATTCAACGTGCTATATATATTTTATATTCACTTTTTACTGTTGAATTTTATGAACCAAAATGCATATATCCAGAATAGAATGTACTTGCTATGCAGTGAGATACACTAAAGGCTAGTCTCATTTCATTTTTTTCCTCTTTATGCCCTGTTTGTTACTCACATCAATAGCTCATATTACTGATCTACATAAATAGTCCAAGAATTGCAACAAATTTCTAACTGTGCCTAGATTAAGCCTTTGAATTTTTCATGGCTTTTCTCCTTGAATACAATACGTAAGGACAGAGTTTTCAATAATCCTATTACTTAGTACAGAAATAGGCTATTGCTAGCAGTGTATGATATTTTCAGATTCCAATTAGCAACTGTGAGTCCTGCATATAAATTTGCAGAGTAATTTAACTGCAGTAACATTTATCAAACAAGAAGCAGAAACATTTCATATTTTCCAAGGAACCAGATTTTAAAGTTATCACTTATAAATGATCTTATTTACTGAAATCTGCATCTCCCATTTCATATAGCAAATTTAGAATACCCTGTGCTTCCTAAAGATAAATTCTTCTCTAAAATGACTATGAAACCAACTCGGATACCTTAGATGATAGCTTAAACTGTTATTCATTTCATTATTTGAATTAACGTGGCTGCATATCAACAAAGTTCGATAATGCTAATATTTTTTCTTCCGATAGAACGAGTTCTTTCTGAAATTACAGAGTTTAATTTATGCCTAGGACTTGGCAAGTATCAAGTACTTTAAAACTCTCTTATCCTTTCTCTCAGACACTCTCAGACCTGAGTTCTTAGCAAGAAAACATAAAGGGAGAGATCTTGAGCATAGTTAAGTGTGAGTCAGGGATGAGAAAACTGAATCTGTAGAAATCAAACTCTTCTATTTTTAGAATTAAATATCCAAGCACGGAACACCTTGTTCTCTTGAAAATAGTACTGCTAATTTGGGAGGCAGCACCGTAACTTGGATGAAATCTCTTAGTATGGCTTTTTTTTTAATCGGTCCACTAAGATAGACAGAAAACCTACAGGAAAAAAAAAACCAAAAAACCCAACAGTTAACAAAAATAGTCTTTCTTACAAAGTCAAAATGTTAGAAAAAAAAACCAACACAATAAACATCCTGCTAAATGCACAGCTTAGCATTTGCATTTCATAAATGCTTCACTAAAGCAATAGCCTTAAAAGGCTTCCTGGATCTTGTGACCAAAAACTGATCTTGATCATAAAAGAGCTGGTAAGCAGGGCAGAATGTTATGGAGCTGTGGCAAAGAGGAATTAGGTGAAGAAGTTTGGTAAATACAAGGAGAGCCTGTGTGATATGAATAGGGCAAAGACATCGATATCAGAATGTAGTTTGGAATTACTGTGCGTAATGGTTTGAAAAGCAGGAACAATAGTTGTTATGATTGGTGCGACTTTTTCCAACTTCTGCACAAAAAGAATCAGCACTGAATAAACTCTGTATTGACTTATTGTTTTGTGTTAGTGCCCCATTGTGTACATTCACATGATTTCTCCTCAGTCTGTGTTAGGAACATGCCTTGGACTATATCACTGCTGAGACTTTGCCATCTGTAGTGGCCTAGTTTTGGCTAACAGCTAAACTCCCACCCACCTGCTCTCTTCAACACTCTCCACAAGATGATGGCAGAAAGTAGGATGAACAGGCCTAAGAAAAGTCATGGATTGAGGTGCAGACAGGGATATTACTTACCAGTTAGAGTTATGGGCAAAATAGATTCAATTTGGGAAAAATAGCATAATTTAATATCAATAAAAATAAGTATTTAATTACAGATCCAGGTAGTGAGAAACAATTAAAAAACATTAAAAGAGCTTTCCATCTCCTTTTCTGATCTCTTTCTTTCTGATTTTTTTTTTTTTTTTAATTTCTCTCTCTCCTTTAATTCCTTCCAGGGGAATATGGGGCTGTTCTTACTGCCTTTAACAGAACCAGAATTGCTGCTGCTCTCTTCTGAAATAAAGTTTGTGACTCCTTACACATCCTGTATGCTCAGGGTCCAGAGATACTGCTTCTCATAAAGGTGGACTTGCAAAGCAGAAAAGTAGAAGTTTTTTGTTTTTTTTTCTTCCTGGTTCAGTCTCTTTTCATTTTTACTTCTACCTAAGACAGCAGTGCCTGGTGACAGCTAAAGGCTGGAGAGAAGACAGCAACGGCTGTTGTCAGATGCTTTGAAATGGAGTCATGTCTTTGGTACCAGTTTGCACGGATGAATGGCTCTTGAAGCACTTCTCTGTGACAAGAGAAGGCACAAAAACAGGGGTCATCTGCAAGCGCTTCACCTTATTCAG